AAATAGGGTTTTAAGCATCAAAGATGGAAACAGAGTCTTGCTAACAGGAAGAAGGTATGACACGCTGTATCTACTTCAGTGGAGACCTATTGTAGATGAGTCTCACGCTACTGTAAGAGAGCAAGATGACACGATGCTTTGGCACAGAAGGTTGGGGCATATGAGTCAGAAAAACATGAGCATGATGGTCAACAGGGGGATGCTTGATAAAAAGAATGTGTGAACTTTGGAAGCGTGTGAAGACTGCATATATGGAAGAGCCAAGAAAGTTGGCTTCACTCTAGCTCAACACGACACCAAGGAGAAACTTCAGTATGTTCATTCTGACTTATGGGGAGCTCCTACTGTGCCTCTGTCTTTAGGTAACTGTCAATACTTCATATCGTTTATTGATGATTACTCAAGAAAGGTGTGGGTTTATTTTCTGAGAACAAAGGATAAAGCTTTCGAAAAGTTTGTTGAATGGGTCAGTCTGGTGGAGAATCAAAGCGACAAAAAGCTCAAGACTCTCAGGACAGACAACGGTTTAGAGTTCTGCAACAGGTTATTTGATGGATTCTGTGAAGCAAAAGGGATTCAAAGACACAGAACATGTGTGTATACACCCCAGCAAAATGGAGTTGCAGAACGTATGAATCGCACTCTTATGGAAAAAGTGAGAACAATGCTGAGTGACTCGGGGTTGCCAAAGAGATTTTGGGCGGAAGCGACTCACACCGCAGCAGTTCTCATCAACAAGACTCCCTCCTCTGCTCTGAACTTCGATATACCTGATAAGAGATGGTATGGGAAACAACCAGCGTACAGCTACTTGAGGAGATTCGGATGCATTGTGTTTGTTCATACTGATGACAGAAAGCTGAATCCGAGAGCTAAAAAGGGAGCTCTTATTGGTTATCCAGATGGAGTTAAAGGTTATAAGGTATGGCTGCTAGAAGAGGGGAAGTGTGTTGTTAGTAGAAACGTCATTTTTCAAGAAAATGCAGTCTACAAGGACGTGTTCCAGAGAGGTGATAACACTGTACTGCAATATGATGATCAAGATAATGCATATCAGGATTTGGATCTCGAAGCAGAAAAAGATATCATCTCGGGTGGAGATCGATCAGATATTGCTAACACTCTCTCAAGCTCAAGGTCAAGACCTGATACTCCTACAAGACAAGATGAAGAAGAAGATACGGAGACTGAAGTAAGACAATCTCCACTAAGCTATCGTCTTGCAAGAGACAGAGTAAGAAGAGTCATACATCCACCAAAACGTTTTGATGATGAAGACTACTTCTCTGAAGCTCTGTACACAACTGAAGATGGTGATGCAGTTGAGCCTGCAGACTACAATGAAACAAGGAGAGACTCAAACTAGGACAAGTGGAGAGCTGCAATGGAAGAAGAAATGGATTCTCAGAACAAGAATGATACTTTGACCATCGTTCAAAGGCCTACAAATCAACGGATCATTGGTAGTAGATGGATATTCAAGTACAAGCTGAGACTGGGGTTGAAGAACCACGCTTCAAAGCTAGACTTGTTGCCAAAGGGTATGCTCAGCGAGAAGGGATAGACTACCACGAGATCTTTGCTCATGTGGTGAAACATGTGTCCGTACGGATACTGCTTTTAATTGTGGTTCAAGAAGACTTGGAACTGGAGCAACTCGATGTTAAAACTGCCTTCTTACATGGCGAGCTTAAGGAGAAGATCTACATGACGCCTCCTGAAGGCTATGAGTCTATGTTCAAGGACAATGAGGTATGTCTGCTCAACAAATCTATGTATGGACTGAAACAGGCTCCAAGACAGTGGAACGAAGAGTTCAATACTTACATCACCAAGATCGATTTTGTGAGGAGCAAGTACGGCCATTGTGCTTACATCAAGGCTCTAGAGGATGGAAGCTTGATGTATCTGCTATTCTATGTTGATGACATGCTTGTAGCATGTCGAGATAAAGAAGCTATTTCTCAGTTGAAGAAAGAGCTGAATAAGAGGTTCGAGATGAAGGATCATGGTGCTGCAAAGAAGATTCTCGGTATGGAGATCATCAGAGATAGATCTGCTGGTGCTTTATGGGTGTCTCAAGAAGGATACTTGAACAAGATCCTTGCTACTTACAATATGAGTGAAGCAAAGTCAACTGTCACTCCTCTAAGAGCACACTTCAAGCTGCGAGCTTTTATAGAGGAGGAGTTGATAGAAAGTGAAGACTACATGAAGGCAATTCCCTATTCTAATGCCGTGGGAAGCATCATGTATGCGATGATCGGAACTCGCCCTGACTTAGCTTACTCTGTTGGGGTAATTAGTAGATTCATGAGTCAACCGATCCAAGACCACTGGCTCGGAGTGAAATGGGTTCTACGATATCTCAAGGGGTCACTGAAGACTCGTCTGTGATACAAGAAGAGTTCAGACTTCAAGATTGTTGGATACTGTGACGTTGACTTCGCTGCAGATCCAGACAAAAGAAGATCAATTTTGGGCTTGGTATTTACTCTCGGAGGAAACACTATAAGCTGGAAATCTGGTCCGCAGCGAGTAGTGGCTCTGTCAACCACTGAACCGGAGTACATGGCCCTAACTGAAGCCGTAAAGGAGTCAGTCTGGTTAAAGGGTCTAATGACAGAGTTCGGTTACAATCAGAAGAGTGTAGAAGTCTTCTGTGATTCTCAAAGTGCCATTGCCTTATCGAAGAACAATGTGCATCACGAGAGGACTAAACACATCGATGTGAAGTATCACTATATCAGAGATATCATCACAGACGGAGATGTGGAGGTGCTGAAGATATTAACAGAAAAGAATCCTGCTGATATTTTCACTAAGGTTTTGGCTATAGGAAAGTTTCAAGCTGCACTGAACTTCCTACGAGTCAAATATGAGTAGTAATACTCAGGAATCAGAGCCTGGAATCCGGTTACTAAACAAGGTACTCTTCTCTCTCTCACACTTTGTGCTATGGTTTACAGTTTGCTCTTCTACTTGTCAGGTGGAGATTTGTAAATCTGTGACAACTTGAAGTGCAAGCAAACGTTTGAATATGGAGATGTGCTTTATTGGGACCACAAGATGACTCATCGATGCTTAAGGATAACTAAAGCTGAGTTGTAAATGGTCCCATTGGTGAGCTGTGCAAACGGTATCTGCAGCAAGCAGCCACCACGAGTGTACGGCCAGGACAGCTAATGATTTCTAACGTTGGAGAAAAGCAAATTTGGCATTACTGCAGACGCTGACTGAAGACTGATTCTGGCGTTTTCAGACTGCGATTGGTGCCGTTATGTGCTTGGGAAGCCCTAGAGTCATAAAGCTATTTAAGGGAGCTTCTTAGATTTGTGAGAGAGTTGAGAGAGATACACGAGTGATAGAGAGTTATTAGAAACTCTCGGTGTTTAGTGGATTAGCGACCATTTTGGGCGTGAACTCGTAAAATCTCTTGTGTGCTCCTGCAGCCTTTACTTTCTTCTTCGTTCTCTTCTTGCTCTGTTTCGTAACTCTGTTCCTCTGTTTCTCTGTTTCATCACTTCGGACTGTTTTGTTCTTGGTGTTGCTGGTGGTCCTGCACTTCGGAAAGTCGACGTCTTGAGTGCCTGAAACCTAACAGATTTGATAGAGGAGATTCTCTGCCGCGTCCCGGCCAAATCTCTGAAACGGTTTCGATCTACTTGCAAACAATGGAACCGTTTATTCAACGACAAGAGATTCACAGTAAAACACTTCGATAAAGCCGCAAAAGAGTTTCTTGTTCTCGTCATGTTGACAAAGAAATTCAAGATTTGCGACATGAGCGTAAATCTCAACTGAAGTCGTCCATCTATAGAGGTCAAAGGTGAGCTTAGACTAATCGACCCTAGTTCTGGTTCAGATCAATTCAAGATTAATCAAGTCTTTCACTGCGATGGCTTATTGTTATGCACCAACAACGATGCCAACCCTAGAATCGTGGTTTGGAACCCTTGTACTGGTCAAACCAAGTGGATCCAACCCAGTGATCGGCATCGTTACAGGAGTGGCAACTCCTATACTCTTGGATCCTACAAGCAAGACAACAAATCCGGGTGCAATAGCTACAAAATACTGAGATACGCTCTTGGTATTAAGGGTGGTGTTGGCAAAGGAGGATTAGAAATCTATGAGTTTAACTCTAATGCATGGAAGATTCTTGACGTCACTCTTGATTGCTGCTTTCATATTTCTTCCTCTGGTGTAACTTTGAAGGGAAAAAGTTATTGGTTTGCTTGGGAAGATACAGAGAGTGGGTACTATGGGTTTGAAGTGTTCATAATTAGTTTTGATTATACAACAGAGATATTTGGACGTGTGCGTATTCCCTATCCACATCTTAATGATTTTGATAGTCTGTCTCTTTCAGTTGTTAGAGAAGGGAAACTTTCGGTGCTATTACAGCGCAGCGATACAATGGATTACACTCAAAGTAAGGATAATGGGAGAGAGATATGGGTAAGAGATAAGATTGATGAGTGGAGCAAGGTCTTAACAGTGGATTATACTCAACATAATGAGTGGTTTAGCGTAAGTTTTTTGGTCGACGAGGAGAAGAAAGCCGTCGTGTGTTGTGAAAAATTTCAATTTGTTTTAAAGGGCGTGGCCAAAAGCACCGAAGAACTGGTATACATTGTTGTGGAAGATAATGTAGTCACACAAGTTGGTTTTGGAGCAGATCATTGTGGTCCAATCATTCTTAATTATGTTCCAAGTTTGGTTCAGATCCAGTGAAGTTGAGGCAGAAGAGAAGGAGGTTACTAAATAAAGCTTCATGCATGCTGCCTTTTTGTGGTTTTGTTTATTTGACTTGGCCATGTTCTTTGAATAATTAATGAATTTATTTTACTAAGATGTGGTATTTATCATATCAGATGTTTCAACTACCCACTGTTCTTGCTTTAAAAAAGTGTTCTAAATTTTATTACTCTTACATGTATGTGAAAAATAATAGTGAGTTTTATTTGCAATGACTTGAGAGACAAATAAGCTAGTGATCGTATGTTACAATCCATCTCACCCTCTGTTATATAGAAGAAATCTAGTTATCTGATTTTCGATTGTGGATTTGTTGCAAGCGATATCGATTGCTAAGTATGCGGAAAAATAACTCCTAATATCTCATATAGTGCATTAGTACTTAGGATGGTCAAAGATAGATTTTGTTGTAATCAAACTAAGGGCCACGAGCCAAAAAAAAAAATCTCCAAAAACTGAAACTAGACAGATCTTTTTTTCGATCCCCTTAAATGGGAGATTGGTCTTTAGTTTTAGTGCTCAAGTTGGAACACATACTCCGTTAACCGTTGCAGCTTCGTTGAATCCACCTTTTGCTCTCTTTTAACAGCTTGCTTCTTCACAGTCACCATTTGAGAAGCTGCATCCACTATCCATCCATTCTCTACAACATCTGTATGTACATCCAGCAAAAGATAAACAGTTTCCGATTAGACAATACATTGGACACTAGTTTAGTTAGGACATTGCCTACAAAATACTAAGCTCTTTTTGAGATTTCTTCAAATGTGGCAGTTTATCTTTGAAAAGCATAGGAAATTGCAGAAAGAAAGCTTACAAGTTGTGGCATCATCCTCCGTCATCCCTAGGAAAAGGGCCAAATCGCCGATGGTAATTGTGGAGTAAGCAGACAACAAAAGCTGAAACATCCTTTTCGTGTAAACATCTGCAACAAAAAACCAAAACAGAAATAGCGTTGAGTGCTAAAGGAATATGAAAGTTGAACCAATGTGAAGAGGCAATTAAGGGTCAGGTGTTAGAACAATGGATGTCTTCGCTACTGCTGCTTAACAAAAGGATGTGGAAAAAAAGGTACCACTTTGGACAATATTTTAATGTTTTCGCATATAACTGGGAAAATTTTAGATTAAATGCTTTCGTTCCTCTCTACCAGTTCGATCATAGAAGCAGAAGCAGCTACTTTTATTAATCAAAAAGCGACAAGACACATACACTGAAGGAATACTATTCAAATTCATGTTCCGAATGTTCAATGGTGACATGCGAGTTGGTTTTATATAAGTGCATGACACAAATCCTGAAGTAAGGTCTCCCAGATAACATGGTAACACAGCTTGAAACCTAAAGACGCAAAAAAGAAAGAAAACTCCAACTTTACATGCTTTTTATTTATAGCACAGCTACGTAAGTTGTCAGCAAGCTTAGTTCAGGAAACTATCTCATACTAGCTAATGGATGTATGTAACACAGATTTTTTTTACCTGAGAATGCAGCAACCAAATCTTTAGCTTCTTGGCTCCAATCATAACCCCGAATAGCTCCATATACACCTGCATAGTCACGTGTCCACAGCTTCTGACCAATCCTCCAAGCAGCAACAACTTCAGGATTGCTCTCCTTGATAGCTGTAGGTATTGTTTTCCAGAGGAAACGGGCGCTATCACTGCATATATTTCATTACAGATTTAGCAAAACAAAGCACAACACACATCAAAAGCAATTCTAAAAAAAGGGTTATGTACAAGTCAAGAACAGCAAAATAACAAATTCTCTAGTTTCAATATACTAAGCTCGCCACTAAGACACAGCCGCAAAACTGTTAAAAGGGTTTCCACGAGACTAGTAGCTTGTATCAAGTTCTAATTATCCTCGTCAATGCACAAATCAAAACTTTAATTTGCAAATCAAAGACCTTTCATGGATGATAATAACATAAGAAATTAAGAATGCAAATTGTAAATCTTCAATAAGCAGAAATAACGATTCTGAAGCGCTAGAAACTCAGCACGAATTTTAAAGAATGCAGCTCAAGAAACCATCTTTTAATTCAAGGAACAAATTTTTTTAATCAAAGAAAGAAATTTAACACACCAATCGTCAACGTAGAAGTAACCCAGAAGATGAATTGCGTACGGCCAATCATCATGGAAAGAGATTCCCTCGGAAGCAACCTGTTAATTAAAGGGCGATTAATCAAAACATAATACCCGCAAAATCCACTTAAACAAAACCCTAGTTAACACTAGAAACAATGATAGCGAGAGAAATTTGGGACCTGAAGCATGAGATTGTCGCATATATCGGCGATTTTATCAAAGGATTTGGCGGTCAAAGCTTCCTTAACAGGAGAAAGATCCATGACTAGTTCGTTCGTCGTTCTACTTCCGGAGCTTTGCGAAGATGGCGATCTTTAAAACCTTTTCAATTCGGTTTAACTTTGCCGATACTAACCAAGCATAACCGGAACCACAAAAATAGAACTATTTCGGTTTTATAGTATTGGAGGCATAATAGTATCCTGAAGTTTGACGGTAAATGGGCCGAGCCCACAAAGCTTTCCGTTGGGCCGTTAAGCCTTTTCCATGCCAGGCAATCATTAAGCCACGCAGGTCTCTTCCCGCCAAAATAACAAACTATAGAGCGAGACTTTGAGTGAAAGGAGGCAGCAAATTTCATTTATGTGTTTAGAAACTATTCCACAATGGCTTTCTAATGGTGAAAGAAAGACGTCGTTGGTGAATTAGTAGCTTTTGATAACGATTTAGAAGCAATGGAATTCTTACAAAAAAATATCATTGGATTCAAAAATGTTCATCAATCAATTTATTTGATTATATCTGTCAAGAAATTAATAAAATCATAAAATCATCACAAGAGAATACGAACGAACTTCAATCATATGAAAAATACCCCACGAACTGTTGCTTCCCCTTCACGGAATCTATGAGATTAATCTAAGAAGCATTTTGCTTTTTTTTATTCTTTTTTTTAATTCATCCTATGGTAAGTTAAGTATTCGGCCAAAAATATTTCGCCTTAATTATTGGCAAAATACATAAATAGAAACAAATATAGAAATATATTAATTTTTTGGTGATATGCAGTAGATTTTGTTTTTAAGGATTTGATCCTAACTCAACCCTTAATTATGTGTAAAATATACCCCTCCCTAAATTTGATTTTTTGTAGACACGCGCTGCTGTATTCTTTGAATTCTTGCAGATTTTAGCGCTTCATCAGGATTATTTTTTCTTCCAGCTTCGATTGAAAATACAAATCTACTCAGAATATGAAAATGTGCATCCTTATGTTGTCATCTATAACAAAAAAGGAGTTGTTTTTGATATGCGTCGCGTTGAACTAAATTTTGCGAGTGATTTTTCTAAGGTCTAAAGATCTACTGAGCATAAAGAAGTGTGAATTTTTTCGTGCTTGTGTGGCTAAATATGAAATGATATTATTGTTGCAGCTTTGAGGATTGGTCAGAAGCTTAGAGCAAAGAAGCCAAAAGATCTGGTGGTTGCATTTTTCAGGTATTGTTTTTTGTATTTTCTGTGTTACAGACCATTAGCTAGTATCAAATTGTTCCAGTTATGTATGTACAATGTAACCATGATGATTCAAAAGTTAACTTTTTTTTCTTTCTTATTTGTGTTTTGTGGATCTACAAATTTACAGAAATGATGGTGAAAGTTACAAAGTTTGTGACTTCTCGTCCCATTTCTGTCTTCTTCTTTCTGGTAAATATTGTTTTCTTCTAGCATCCTTCGATTAGTTTAGTTATATATATTACAATAATCTTAAATAGTATGCAACTTTTTTCTTATATTACATTTAGAAAAGGTGATTCTACTAAATACATATCACTCTCACAGCAACATGTATGAAATGATAATATGAATATTAACAAATGATTTTTAAGTTCATCTCGTTTTAGTTTTATATATCTAGATTAAACAAAACTTTACTTCCTATCTTTTTGTTATTCAGATGTTTAAGTTTATTCAGCTTGTTGTTCCATTGATTCTGTTGTTTCATGATTAATATATTTCTATATTCCGCAATTCAGCAGCGCTTTATGTGTATATAAATTGATTAATGAAAAAATTTAGGTATTTCTGGTGATTGTTTTGGGGAGCATACCGATCACGATTTGGCACAGATCAACGAAGAACATAACAAACGACGTCGCTTTATACACTGAAAATCTCCGGTCAAGTCTAGTTTCCGAGATTGAAAACTTAGGGAATTTCATCTATCGGAAGACGAATTCAGTTACAATCGGTTTAGCTAGAGTTATAGATTTTTATCTCACCAACAACATTACTAATTTCACAGAGATTCAAACACAGGTTTGTTTTAAACTAGTTACATCAATATTCATGATCTTTGAGTTATTACAAAACTATAATTATTTTTGGTTACTGTTGTCGTCTTTTCAGATCGCACTAGTGTTGTTTCGAGCTTATTCTATAATCCCTCAAGTCTCACAAGTTTCTTACATTAGCACGAATAGTCTCTTGTTTTCTTACATAGCAGAACTAAACACAAGTGTCGCTGTTTTTGCCAATTCTTCGTTGAACTTAAATGTTGGTGGAAACTACACTTGGTACACTCAAACCGTTGATCAGATAACCGGTAATCTTAACGGGAATGCAACAAAATATCAGCCGTTTATAGCTGTATCAGGCCATGATCCTGGTTCAAAGGAAGCAAGAAAAACCATAGAAGCTGGAATGGATGCCTTCTTGGAGAAAAATCTGAGTCAGGACCAACTTGTCAAGGTCATTAGAGAAATCAAAAGCAAGGTCTGCTACAAGCAACTCTAAAGTCTAAAACTAGTATTGTTATCATTAGGCTTTTCTAATTCTCATTCCCATCCATGCATAAAGAAAGGTTAAACAAGATCTTAATATGACAATAAGCTTCCTCTAACATTATCTATCACATGTTCAGAATCCATAATCAGATTCATGGAAGAGAGAGCTATGGATGCAAAACCATCTTCACCATCTGCTAGCTCATCAGGCTCTAGTTTTAGAGGACCGATGGGATGACAAAGTTGTGACATCTCCACCAACATGTCAACTTTCTTTGGAAGATTCTCATCAGCTTCGGTGGAAGTATATCTATATATATCACAATGCCTTTAACTAACTGATCAAGGCAAGTGAACAATATCAGCTTCTATGGAAGCTTCTCTTATGTTTTGTCATTTGAAACTTGAAAGAGATTCAAGCATCTGAGATAGTTTTTCCAATTGTTGTGGGTACGTTCCTATCAGATTGTGTTTGACAAATCATTATCTTTATTTTCATACAAAGTATATGAAACCAACCTGATCAAGAACATGTATCCGAAACATGCCAATATTAACACTAGTGAGATTTTCCAAATTCCCACTAAACTTGCTTTGATCATTAATAAAGAATTAAAATACATTGTTTAAGATAAATCAAATATAACTGATACAAACAAAACAACAGTGTTTGACTGTCTGATGGTGGGAGCTAAAAGCAGTGGACATCATCACTAGAGTCTTGTTGCTCCAAAACTATAGTAGCAAGTGCGAGTCTAGAAGCACAAGATCTTAGGTTTCTAACCAAAACATAAATCTCCTTCTTCCTCCTCTTTACATCTTTCCCTTTCCATTGCTCTTCTCTTAGTCTCATTAACAACACTGCATCACACAGAGCTTCCGCCGTCGGCTTTTTACTGCACATTAAGACAAGCAGCTCAGAAACCAAATCAGCCACTGGTGAATTTCGATCAAGATTTTTGAGGGTTTTTGTTTTTGTCTTTACCTCCCTCGGACAAATCCTGTCGTTACAAACCCGATAGGCCATCTATGAGATTGTTTTGTAAGAGTGTCTTCAGGGACATTTAGTTCCCAGGTTCCAGAAGGTTGTTCTTGGAAGTAAGAGCTTACACAAGATTGAGGGATTGTAACACGCCCTTCTTCCCCTTCACTGCAGCTGTGAAACATAACACAAAACGCCCCAAATGTCATCCCAAAAGTGAAACAGTTTCAATTGAATCACAGTTTGTTCAACATGATTTCTTGGAGATGTTACCCGGATTTTAGTGTTGATATGTCTGCCAGAGATGGTGCACATACAACTGCGCCTTCTTCAAAAGAACCTTCCTTGAAAGCATGTAGAAGAACTCTGACAAGGCACAGTCTAGTATCACTGCTCTGATGGATCTGAGCTCTTGCCTTTGTTTCATCTTCTTGAAGCGTCATCACAAGGTTTGCGTTTGGCTTCAAAGCGTTGCGAGGAGATAAAAGCAAGTTGTCACTTGAGAAATCTTGGAGAAAAGTAGTCAGCGAATCTGATGTTCTTGCCACTATACCATCAAATAGATTACCACCATTACTGGAAACTTCCACTTCAGTCGTCCCATCGCTGCTTGTACGCTTTTGATCTGAACTCTCTCCAATAGAACGTGTCACATGGATACTATTCCATGGAGGTGGAATGGGAACTCTGAAAGGTCTTACCGCAAGAGGGCGCCTTTGTGCCTCCTCCTCCAACTCTGCAGCTTCACTCATTGTTAAAGATGAATATGATTTGCAGTCAGGAAAATCTGACGGGAAAAATGGGAAACCAGCCTGCAAAAAACAAAGATGACTTAAGTTTTTTTCAGACGTTTTTCGAATCTACGATTTAATAAGTTTACATAGCAGAGAGTGGAGACATACATCACAAGAAAGCCAGCGTTTCTCCCTCTGACCTATTGCTTGAGCTCCTTTTGAGACAAAGGCATTCCAGAAGACTTTGATCCAACTAAGGGGAAGTATAAGAGACCATCTGAAAGAGAACAAGAATGATTAATTGTGGATCTTTGAGGACCTTGATTCTAAAGAACGAACACAGAACGATTCAGATTACCCTGTAGGTGCGTTCCCAAGCTTTTTAAGCAGTAAAGGACAAGACCTCGAACTCCTTGGCCTACTAGATATCTTCGGAGCCTCAGCAGCTGGGTCGTCGAGGCAAAGAGACTCCATACGAGTTTGATGCTTCTCCCAACACAACGTGTTCTCTTCTTCTGGAGGGGCCAGTTCACTATTTGCATCCCATAAGCACTTGAGAACTTCAAGAAAACTTTCAGCCTCTGTGTTGGTTGTTGTTATTTCAAGTGACTCAGCAGGCTCAGTTTTGGTCATTTCAACTGACACTGTACTATCATCAAGTGGATTATTCGGGATTAAACGCGGATCCATGACAAACCGTGGTAGAATAACGCAAGATGATATGTTCTCCTCTTTGTAAGGATCATCAACGTTCTTAACTTCAGCTTTTTCCATTGAACACTTTCTTAAAACAGAGATATCCTCTGAGCTACTGTAAAGACCAAAAAAAGTTTGAGATAAATCTTGCTTTGTTCATTTGCGTTTCTTGCATACCATTATATATATTCACTCAGATGGCTCACCTTGTAACAGGATGTATGGTCTTTTGAAGAAGATGAGATGCTTCTGAACCGAAAATCTCAAGTTTTCCAAGCTGACCCTCGAGTGAAAAGCAATCAACTAAGACACCTGTCTCATTCATCTGAGCGAAGGAACTTTATGAATCAATATCTCCATAAGAATATGTAAAGCATGAGACACCAAAAATGACCTCAAAGAAAAAAAAAAATACCTGTTTTTGACAAGCTAGTTTAAGAGAAGCATATCCCTCACTGAAGGAAGAAGCATGGATCCACACCCAAAGTTTTCGAGAGTCTACATGATCTCCATTTGAGACTGGAGCATTGTTTCCTTCGCAGTCACCCACTTTAACCTCATCTCTTCTCTTAGGTAACTGAGAAGGTCTCCACATATAAGTTACAGGAGCAATCGCCTGAGAAACTGGTGGTTCCACATGATAAAGCTGAAGAAAACAAAACAAGTTACGATTACACATCCACCCTAAGTTGCCGTTTCCCGTTAACAAATAAAAGTGAGTTTCACAGATTCACACCATACCATGGCGTTTTCACAACTAAGGCCTGCAAGAACAGAGTCGAAAACTTCCTTGGAATGAGATGACGGAGAAGGCTCCAATAGCAAGTTTAATATTGACAAGAGTGAGCCCTGAGAGATTCAAAGCCAAATAAACATCAAGAAAATATGAAGTCAAAACAAAAGTTTTAAAGAAGAATCTCAAGAAACAAAGTCAAAAACCTGCCTCTGGACCCTCCAATTGCACAGCAATGTGATAGCTTGCATCATGCACAAGAACACCTTGCCTAGACTTCTTCAAGATATCCCTAGATCCCCTTCCTCTAAAACCATGACACAACAACACCAACCTTAAAAGACTTTCAAAAGGCGACAACTTTTTTCTACTTATCAGAAGCTAAAACTGAAATTTACCTCCCAAATAAACCAAGAGGAAGGTGAAATCCCCAGAGCTTAGTCATGGAAAACCGTTTAGCATGCCAAACATGTGTTCTCAGTTTCTTTGTTCCATCTCCAGAGGTACTAAACCCTGATTCAGGGTTCCCTTTAAGTTCCATCCTCCTCTTGACTCGTCTTGGGATCTTTGTTTCATCATTGTCCCTTCCTCCTGATGCTTGACCAATCAATAGCAACGACTCTGATCTTTGCCTCTTTATATTACGTCTCTTTGAAGGATTGTTAGTGTAGGCATTGGTCCTTCTCCTCTTGTTCCTCTTTGACCGAAAGTCCTTGTTCAAACGGTCAGACACAATCGAGTGAAGAGACTCGAGCTCGGCTGCTCGAGCCTCGGAGAATTTCTGTACGCTGATTTCTCGAGGTGCAAGCGACGATAAACCACCGTCTCTTTTCTTGTTGTTCCCATTAACCATTCTTCTTGAGGATCAAATCTAAGTTACCCGAGCTATTACGAATTAAACCCTTGTGCCCAGAATCCCAAAAATTCAAACTTTTCCAGGATTCACTATGAAAGAGTTGAAGAAATTGGTTCAGACAATTTGACGAACAGATGGCACGCAGGAGAAGTTACTGCGGCGGTAATGAGACGACGAGGACAAAGTTTAGCGCCGGTTTAACTGAAGTAGATGATATTTTTTTTTACAATATAATTTATTAAAAAGTGTAATTATAATTTATTTTATTATATATTTTACAAAAATTAAAAAATATTGTATATTTGAATAAACATACAATATATATTTATATATTATATGGATATTAACTATATATGTGATCAATGGTTTATTGATAAAGAAATATGAAATATATTATATCTTATATATATATAATATTTTAAATGGATATAGTGCAAATCAGAAGAGTATTATATAACAAAAATTAATTAGAGAAACTCTTCAAGCACAACATAGACAGAGACGACTCTTTTTAACAGGTCGTACTTGTTCACGGCGTAGATTTACATAATAGAAATGCCATGATTTTATATTTTTATGAGCTTAAATAATTGATTTATAATTCTAATTAATACAGTTGCATTAAATATTTTATAAATATATATATTAGGACTCTGATATCTTATTAATTTCAAAATTATTAATGGATCAAGTTTGAATAAAATAAATTATCAAATAATTATTAGTTTATAAAGAAATTGTTTTAAAATTTATTATAATATTATATAAATTTTTCTTCTAACTTTTTAAGGTTCAAAATATAAAATAATTATTATTTTTATATTTGTATAATTGTTTATATAATAATATCTTATTATATTAATTAAAAATAAGAAAACACTCTTAAATATAAAACATAAATTTTGTTAATGATTTTTAAAAACTACCACAAAATAGATATTTAATAATTATTTTTGGATATTATATATATATTGTTATTAAATATATTATCTAATTCTTCATATTTTTTATATTCTTTTAGTATTATGGTTAATAATACATTAAATTTATGCATTAACTATATTTTACATAATTTCTATCATTAAATTTTTAAAAATGATACATGTCATTTCTACAATAAACCAAAATGATGAGGTGGCACTCATATGGAGAGAATTTGTCATCTTTTATAGTATATATGAGTTATTCGTAATCCACTACATATTATTTGAGAAATAATATTATTAAAAATAGCTGACTTGTCAATACTACAATCAAAGTTAGTGTTTTTAATTGATGACATGTAAATGTGACATGTCAAACTTTCTAAAATAAACAAAATGTTTTGATTGGTTGAATTAAAATTATAAAAATTATGGAATTAAAACATAAATAAACTAGATTATATTTATAACACTAAATTAACAAAATTAAATTAACAGAAAATAAAAGTTATTATAATTTCAATTTTTTACATATATTCATAATTTCATAAAATATAATTACAAAAATTTTCAACAATATATATATATATATTATAATTTCATATAAAACGAAAAAAATATTAAATTATCCAATAGAATAATAAAAATTCTATTTATTAATAATACCTGAAGTATGATATATTTTTATTTCGGAAAGTTATTAATTTACAAAATATATTAATGACATCTAACAAAAGTTTTAAATAAACAAATTATTAAATAATACAATTTTAAATAAAATACAATCATGATAAAAATATTTAAAGAATAAAATATTAAAAATAATAAAAAAATAGTCAACTTTTATTGAATTTGTTTTAAGAAAAACGTAATTTTAAACAATTTTTCTTTTCAAACCAATATTTACTAAATGAATAAAGTATATACTAATTATTATTTTATAATGTTAATAGGACCATATATTTTTCCAATAACTTTTATCATCTTTTTATTGTTGTTTTCTAAAATGTACATAACTTATGTTACCATCTCAACTTATCTCTTATCATATTTTAAATAAAAATCAATTTTATATCGTATGTATATATATATATAAATTTATTTTCATTGTATATCAAAATTTTGAGAACATAAATAAAATGAAAAATAACCGAACGAAAAAATAAATTATAATAAGATGAAACAATATGAATAAGAAATAAAAATAGAAATATATAAAAATAGCATATAGCATAAGAAATAAAAAAAAACAATATGAATAACAAATTTCAGTTTAATTTGCAATAAATCAAGAAAAATATATACTTAGAATATATTATATATGTATTTAAAAATTCATATTATGTAAGACGCAAAAAGCATATTGTAGATTGTGTAAGAAGAAATAAAGCATATTATAAAAATATTCAAAAAATATTATAAAAATTTAATTATTATTTAACATAACTTTTATATTTGTGATTATATATTATTACAAGCATTATAAAAATAAAGTTTTTAAAATACATTGGTTTCAGAAAGAATTTTGTAAAATATTAAAACAATATACATATAAACATACTAATGTTTAAAAAGATTAATCATCATTTAAATATTATAATTAACTATGTATATAAAAAAAAATTATACCCGCACAGCGCAATAGTTATAAATTTTAATGGGCCTAAATATTAAAAGTGTGGCTCAAGATATTAAAACTGTGAACTTGGGCCCATTATCAAGAAGAAATTTAATAACTTTGTTAAGCTCTTGCTTTCTCTATCTGAGAAGCGGCGGCGAAAGCAGCGGTGGTTTTGCCACGGACAGTGGCGTTTGTGACGGGAAACGCCCAGAAGTTCGAAGATGTCAAAGCTTTCATCTTAAATCCATTTCTTGAGTTGCAACGCCTGAGCTGGTCTTCAGGTGCAGAAGCTTTTTACCCCTTTTCTACATTTTGTTGAAAAACTCAGTTATAGTACTTTAATTGATCACAAAATCATCATACTTATGTTTTATATAAGTGAGCTTGTGATGATAGTGTGCTTCTTGTGTACTCTTTTATAGTTTCTTCCTTCTGCTGAATGTGAACAAGTTATAAAGTATGATTGTAAATGATACATGTCTCTGTTTCAATGCTTTCAAGGGTCTTTCTTCATGGTGTAATTTACTTTAGATTCTAAGTTTTTTTTTCTTTTCATGCACTGCTATGTACAGCAAAAGGTCAAACACTGTCTAATTTCATGTCATTCCTCTAGTACATGAGACCTAAAACACAGTTTTGTCTCCAGTACCAAATGCCACACAAACATTTCTAGATTACATATTATCAAGATGCCACATTTTTTCTGAGCATCACACACAAAAAAACATTCCAAGTTTCCCAATTAGCTATCATAGAAACACAAGTAGCCAAAAATAGCAGCCAAGCACAAACAGAATACATCATTCAGCCATTCAGGCAATGAATCTTGTATCTAAGTTAAAAAGAAAATTAGTGAAGGCATTGGATCTTGTTCTTACAGCTTTTGTAGAGCCAAGCAGAAATGAGATTAGCCACATTGCGCAAACTTGGGACAAGGGTAAGAATAAGGCCTTAGTTATGTAATTGGGGTTGTCACTTGTAGGTCAAAGACTCAGAACGACCCCTAGATCATTTGATACTAACAATTAATCTCTAAAGCACAAATCATTAGAGGTAACTATGATCCTAAGCATTATCTAGTACACTTCTTGATCTTATATGTCATTACATTTTTCTGGTTGTACTTGTTTTGGTAAAGTGAATGACATTAGTAGTCTCTTTCTTTGTCCATTTGTAAAGCATATAGTTTGTATCAAACTGTCGTTATAAATGTATTCCATGTGATCATATTTATATCAGTCACTCTTCCTGAGCCATGTGTGATTATATTTTAGGAAGTTGCATATAATAAGAGAGGGGGGGGGTCTTAATAGTAACATGTTTAGTTTGTGTTTTTGATTGATTCAGTTGTTTATAAAGCAGGGAGGAGCTTTATTGACCTTGAGAATGTACAATGGAAGAATAACAGAGAAAAGAAACCAATCTTAAAAATCAAAGAGAAGAATTGAATCAAACAAGCAACCAGTGAATCATATGCAATGTTGTATGTTTTTTAATCAGAATCTGGATCTCTTGCACTCAGGAGGGAATCCACGAGGGAACCTTTTGAGATCAGAGCAATAATTGTAGATCATGAAGTATCTCTGCACCCATCTGAGTCTCCTCCTGCCATAAGCATTGAGCTCATTCGCCACCTGCACGTCACCATCACCGAAGGAACTCTTGAACTTGGGGTCACATCCTGAAGAGACGGTGCAAGCTGCAGCGTGGAATCCTCTGTAGTAAGCTGTGAAAGGAGCCTTGGACCAGTCAGTCTTGACCAGACCACCTCTCGTGGCCCAATCGTCTGCATTCCACAGACTCGAGTAGATCCTCATTGGTTGGTTCTTGGGGAAAGGAACACCAAGTTTCTCTGCATTGTTGAACACTCTAATAGGCAAATTGTCCACCAAGAATCTGCACAGAGATAAGAATAAGAAATTCAAGATCTTCGTTTTTCATTGCATTTAGAAAACAAGTGTCGATGAATCTTCTTACATGATGTGTTGAGGTCTCCAGACAATGGAGTAAGTGTGGAAGTTCTTGGTTGGGTCGAACCAGAGATAAAACTGTTGTTCTCTGTTGCCTTGCCCTTGAGCAAAGACATTGGTGTGAAGCACATAAGGCTTCCCTGTCTCATTCCCTAGAAACTCGAAATCTATCTCATCATGTGTTGCTCCTTGTGATGACAACTGCAAAAAAAGTTTTTGACAAAATTTAGAAAGACTACAAGATTTTGTAACACAGTGATGTGAGAGAGTGTGAGTTCAAGAAAGACTTTCTTAAAGATTTTAAGTGCGAGTCTGAGTTCAAGAAAGACTCTCTTAACGTTTTAGTGTGAGTGTGAGTTTGAGAACGTACGTAGTAAGCAGTGACGGTTCCGGCTGAGTTTCCGGCGACTAGTTTGAGCTGCATATCGATGCGTCCAAACAAATACTCTTTCTTGGATTTGAAACCCGACCCGGAAACCCGGTCCAGAGACAGAGACAACATATTTCCTCCATTGAAGATTTTGCCCCTATGGTCACCCCATGTTAGGTCAAACTCGTCAAAGAAGTTGCCTGAGTAGGCTGAACCGAACATTGTTACGAGCACAAGAGCCACCACGACGGTGGTGGTGAGGCTTGAGCTTAGACCCATTTGGGTTTGGATGATAAAAGTGAAAGCTTAGGGGATGTTTAGTAAAGATTTGAAAGTAAAGAAGATGATGAGAACTTTGTGTTTTTGGTTTGAGTTTTAAGAAGGGGTATGAGTATTTATAGTTGGAGAAGAAGCCTTGGGAAGCCAACTCATTTTAAAACCTATAGTGTATACTCTTAAAAATATATATTTCATTGTTACAACTTACAAATGGTTAATGCAAGTCCACACAATTCGTCTATAGATCTAAGTTGATGAGAAGGATTGATTGAATCTCATTAAAGGATTTGCCTCTAGAATTATGAAACTCAATTGATTAGACCATAATCATTTTAATCTGTTTTATATATCGAACTTTGCGGCAATTTATGTTATAATAAAAAATTTATGTTATAATAGTGTTGATATATTATTATCTCATAGTCTGAAATGTTACATATCTCTTTAGTAGAAATGTTCATTACATACATGGAAATCACAAATCAGTCTTTAAAAATTGGAACTATTCAACCACTAATCTACCTTAGGGTGTTGGTTATATACTTATATACGGGGCTGTTTTTGGAGCTTTTCTTGAAATGTTTATTGCACTATTAATAAAACCATCATTAGTACGATTTACATTATTCCTCATGATTAAGATAAATGAGTGGGAGATTTAATGATGAATGCAAAAAAAAAGATAGAAAATGAAAGCGGTCTGAAAAAAGAGAACAAATGAGAGAGAGTAGTGAGTACGTAATCACTCTCAGTCGAGAGCTGTTGCCAGCTTCCTCTGCTTCATCCAACCTCGAGCCTCCTTTTTTGTTTTTAGTTCTTTTTATAGTTTTTTTTGTTTAAATTAAAGCCCTTTTTAATGAAATCTCAAATTTCTAATGTGTTCCACATTGAAATGAATTTTATTATTGGACTGAGGATAGAAACTTGATGATTTATATGTATTATATCTTTGATTGTATCAACCAAAGAACAAATTTACAGAACTTTTATTTTTAATACTTTGATACAATTTTGAAATTTAAGTAGGTGTAAACGATAGGTATATGTCATGTGAGCAAAGACAGTGATTCTTGTTTGTAGATTTTCTGTGAGTTTTAAAATTATGCAGATTTTAATGTTAGTATTAAATTTGAGTTTTAGTTAGATTATTTTTAATTAAGTTAGGATTTGTTTCTGGAGAAATTTTATTTTTTTATCGGTTTAACTTTTAGAAATATTTAATTTTTTTGTCAATTTAGTTTTTTTTTAGATTTAATTTCTAAAAATATCTTGTTCTTTCGCCGATTTTGAATTATATTTTTATATTTTATTATGTATTGTATTTTGATATTTGATATTACTAGATAAAAAAAAAGACGATAGATAACTATTTTTATATAAGAAAAGGGATAATAAATTGAAAAAAAATATATATTATTCTGTATATAAAAATAACAAAGTCAAATGATAAATGTTTATGGGGCAAGTACCATAAAGAATTACCGAATTTATGATTGCTATACAATGAGAGATTGTTAATGTTCAAAAAAAAAAACTTCTGATGTTTTTAAAATTTCTTTATTTTTTATAAACATACTTATCAGAAAACAATGAGTGATTGTTATCATTGAATGATGTTTATGCGATTTTGCAATGTTTTATTTAACTAATCACATGAGTTCACTTTCTGTTTGACAAACAACATATCTATAATTGGAAATGAGAAAAGAGGATAAAATAAGAATGGGAGTGACAAGCTGGCATGGACATGGCCAGTCTTTGTACTTTAGTGTTTATCATCTCCTCTCTCAGTCTTGCCACGTGTCATTTCCCTCGTACCTTCATCACGTGTGACGGTGACCTAACAGTCACTTGCATGACATGCCCATTAGGTATAAAACTTGTCGTAACATTGGTTTCCACTCCTAAACAAATGTCTCAAGATATTATAAACAAAAAAAATCATGATTTAACTTGTACAAATAGCCTTAGTTAATCAACATTTATTTATTTTTCGTTTAGCAATCTATTATTTTTTTCACATTATCTTATAGGAGTACATACACATAAAAGAATATTAGAACATGAAATCATATCCTTTCGAGTTGTGAGGCCATGATATATTGTAGGCTGATTATTTCCTTTTTTTTTCCCACGTGAAACTGTAAGTTTGGAGTATAAATTAGAGCATATAAAAATTATATGAATGAATGCTGGATTTTGTTTGAATGTGGGCATTTAAGGAGGCACCACATTTTCGTTTATTCAAAACGTATGGTTCTTGATAAATAAATGAGGAATATATATATAGTTGGCAAATAAGATGAATGGATAAGGAGGTGGTGGTGAGTGGTCCAAATTAAATTATTGAAATAAAACGAGTTTATTGTCCTGTCTTACAGTCTTACAAAAATCGAAAATGCATGCAGATTCAAGGAATTCGGCATTGACACGGCATCCGTATATAGTATGTGTACGTATAGAGAGATTCATGATTACATAAATTTTTACATTATTTTAAATCTTTTTTTTTCATTATTTTAAATCTTGGATGGGATCTTATAATAATACTACTCGTGTATCTTTAATTGTCGTCCGTATAAATTATTTTTCAAATGGGAAACAAATGTCTACGATTTTAAGAAGAAAACTGAAATATATGAGAAGATAGACGACACATTCGCATTATTAACAATGGTGTGTGCATAAAAGCTTCATCGGAAGTGTATACTTGTCACTTCGAAATTAGAACTTTATAAGTTCACTTATTTCTGTTGTGGTTTCAAAACAGATGGAAGTTTGCGTTTTTGAAAAATCAAAATTTAAATATGCTATTTTGTGTACTTCATTTCGTTTTGATCTAGAAAAACAATTTGCTTACTGAGATAATATGAATTGTTATGAAATATTATGTGATGTTCATTATAAGTCCATAAGATCCATATTTTAGAAGGTTCTAAAATTACTTGTAAGCTAGGTTTTATTTTATCACCAAGTAAAACTCTCTCTTTGTACTCCTATATAAATGACCACTTATTTATTGGAATAACACAACACAATTCCTTCTTTCTCTTCTCTCTATTCACAACACGTTATCAGCATGAAACCTAGCTGTCTGAGCTAAGAGGTATACAAATCTGCTTCTTAGAATTTATTCATTCCAATTTCAAATCATGTTTATTATCAACTCATGATTTGTAAGAATGAATCATTAATCAGTATTATGATAGTCTCCTGCAGAGATTCAAATTATATGTTTATTTATTTTTTATTTTTTTACAAGATCAATATTATGATAAATTCTCTTGAAGAGATTTACATAATCAATATTATGATGAATTCTCTTGTAGAGATTCAACTTATATGTTTATTATGATGAATTCTCTTGTAGAGATTCAACTTATATGTTTATTATGACGAATTCTCTTGTAGAGATTCAATTTATATATTTATTTTATTATATTTATGATTGATATTATGATAAATATTCCTGCAGAGATTTAAATCATATAATTATTTTATTATTATTATTTTTATAATTGATAAATTCTCCAGTAGAGATTCAAATCAAATGTTTTACTAATATATTTTTGCATGATATTTATAAACATGTCTTTATTCCTTAAATTAAATTTAGTATTTCTGCATATTATTTACATATCAAATATTTTATTCCGTTTTTGCACATAGTTTGCACAAAATATATTAAGCAGAATACCGTTCATTAAAATCATATATTGCTTATATTATTCATGCACATGATTTACACGAAATTTGTTAAATTGAATCTTATTCATTAAAATCGAATCACATATTCATTAAATCGAATATTTTTCATATTGTTTTTGTACAGAATCGTTTTTACACGAACTTTGCACGGATTTTAGTATGTCATTATTCAGATCTAGATTTATGTTTTAAATACTATACTAGTTTCTGTTTTCAATATTGTTAACTCGAAGTTTGCACATATATGATTATTCGAATTTTACACGAGTTTTGCACATATATCCCAATTTTTGCACAAAACTATGCATCATGCTTGTATGTTCTCACGAGATTTGCATTATTGCATCAAAACTTGTTTATTTTCATGATCACGAAATTTATTCATATTTTATCAATGATGATTCATTAAATTATTTTATATTCATTAAATTATTTTATGATATTATCATTTTTATTTATAGTATATGTGATCTTTTATGATTGTACTTATCTGACATTACATTTTTGATGATTTTAAGATCAAATAATTAACATAGAGCAATATAAAGAAAATGCATGATCACCAGAATGTGATATGACCAAACTTATAATGCATGATTGCATCTAAAACCACATGATTTGAAGTCTATAAGTGAATATAGTGGATATAATATTACTTATATAAAGATGTAAATATTATTGTCCTGCTGACATAATGAAGAAGTATTTTTTAATTATATATTATCTCTTTGATTTTTTTTTTAAAAACAATTCAAGTTGTCACCTGAAGTGATAATATTGATGATACATGTTATTAATATTATTTGTTTTTTTTTAATATGCTTTCATATATATATATATATATAGTTATATAATAGTTATTTTCTACTATTATTTATATGAATATTTTGTATTTGCCTATAAAAGATCCCTAAGTTCTTTACATAAATCTAAGGAAAAGTATGATCATTATAATGTGATATTACCTAAAACTCATTATGAGTCTTTACATCTAAGATTATAAGACTTGAAGTCTGTAAATAATTCTTATTATGTTAAAGATTATGTGAAGAGAATATCACTAATCTAGAGATGCTAGAAGACATACTCTAATCCTTAGACAAACAATATTGTCTTGTAGACAATATGAAATGAAGTTAAAGAACTTTTTTGAAAAGATAAATGAGTTATTGATATAAAGTCATGAATTATATCTAATTAGTTATGATCCATTCCTTGAAGAGAATGTGACATTATATAGTGGGATAAAAAAGAATCATGTTCATAAAATTAGCCAAGGAACAGGCTCAAGAAGTGGTCATGAATGTGAATATGAAATAGATATGATCAAGGTCTAGATCAAAAGTTTTATTTCAAGAACTTACAAGAAGTGAGAAAATAAAAATGGTATAAACAAGAGGTGAATCTCTTGTCTAAAGATGAAATAAATCAGCGTGAGTACAAAATCTGGTAATATATGGATTATTGAAAGCTCCAGAAGAATAGATATTTTTGTCAGTAGGAATGCAATTATTGATGCATTATATCTCCCAAATCTCAAAAGTTAAAAGAATCAAAGATATAAGACATTATCCAAGTTGGATATGTTATTGATTTTAGATTGGGATTCAATTCAAAATAGATGAAAAAAGTGTCATCATCTTGAGGAGGAGAATTGATGAATCCCACAATCCATAGTAAGTAAAACATCTAGAAGATTATGTTCAAAGTCAAAATGATCTTGATGAATCATTTATAAGGTAATTTTAATGGATTTCAAAGTTAATCAAGTTAAGACAATAAAGAAGGAAAATTGAATACCTTCAAATTTAGAGTATTACTAAATGCAGTAAAAGTATTTTGGAGAAATTACATACACTCTCTAATAGATTGTAATATATAAAGATTGTATAATGGAGATAAATGTTATATAGTAAACCAGAAGTTTAAAGAATATAACATAGTTTGGCATGAGCTGGTTAGACCATTCTAGTTCAAGAAATATGCAGAAATAATCAATAGGTCTATAGACATCCATTGAAGAACTTGAAGATTCTTCCTAATGATTTAATCATATGACAAATATGTTATTATGATTTTCACTAGCCAAAATAGATTTGAAATCTATATCATTTCCTAGAAAGTTTACAAGGAAAAGTTTGTGGTTAAGTAATTTATTATATTGAATATCTGCAACTTGAAGTTTGCTAGACCCCTTGGCAATGTTAGTAAATTCACGTCTTAAGCCTTTAATGATAAAATCATAAAGATAAATATTGAACATCTAATAGCAAATGTTCATACACAAAATCCAGAAGTATTAATTCGCATAAAGCCAACAAGTAATCAAAGTTCTCCCATCAAATCTGATTTTGGGTCAGAAACCAAATATTTTCCATCTAAATGATTTGGATGTGCAGTATATATCCACATTGCTCCACCACAACATTATAAGATGGATCCTCAAATGAGGTTGATAATATATGTTGGATATAAATCTCCATTGATAAATAAGTATGTAGAGTCCATCCATGAAGGATTTATATTAGGCTCGATTTGTAGACTGTCATTTTAATATGTCAGTAATTCCAACATCAGGGGGAGAAAAGAACCAGCTGGAAAAGATAAGTTGGAATGAACTATCATTGATCCTCGGACTAAAGAATGTGAATGAAAGTCCAAAAGATAATTCATTTACAACGTTTAAAAAATCAGTTGCCAGAAATATTTACTGATCCAAATAGAGTGACAAGATCACATACCAGCTATAAAGGCTCCAATAAAATTTAATGTTCCAGAAGGACAATATCAAGCTGCTAAAGAGTTTAAAGAACGCATGAAGCGTGATAGACTTATTGGTTCCAAACATAAATATCCTCAGAAAAGAAAAAGAGCAGAATTGACAATGGTCAGAGTGAAGAGATAGATTTTTGAATGATCTCAAGAAGAGACATTAAACATGACAAGAAAGAAAGTCAGGTACCTGAGACAATAAAGAGATCGATCTCAACAAGTTATGTCATGTCTAGAATAAAATGGAACCGAAAAGCAAAACGACGTCGTAAATATTATTGCATGCACTGTAGCAGTTGATATGATAAATGAGAAAGAGGATCACAAAATCTATTGCAAAGTGTACACAGAGAAATGATTGGCCAAATTATAAAGAAACAATAGTCATAGAGTTAAATAAAGAGATGAATATTTGGACCAGTTGTCCATACACCTAAGGGTGTAAACCCAGTGGAATATAAAGAAGACTTTATATGAAAGAATTATAAATATGAAATTAAATATGAAGAGACAAACTCTTATGTGGTGGATGCAACTACTTTCAAGTTCCTTATCAGTCTGGCAATACGAGAAGAACTTGACTTATACTACCTACTGGATAATGAAACTTAAATAAAATCCCAGAAGGATACAAATTCCCGAAGGATTAAGATTGTCAAAATACGTTCCTGAAGATTCTAATTATTCGATCAAATTAAGACAAAAATGTTTTATGTGGTATAAGTGAATATTATAAGGTTAACCAATATACCCATATGTATTTACCAAAAGATTGTGGATCAAGAGGATTCTAGATTTGAATATAATCAAATCTCTTGAAGAGTTATCCCAAATTGTAATTTGGAAGAAAAATCTTTGGAAAAGATGACATTGTCTTCAAGTGTTCCAAATTGAGATATTTAAGTGATAGAGATACTATCTCAAATGATCCTTGAAGAATTTACATAAAGAATGCTCACAATATTTTGATCCTGAATGATACTTAAATTGCTAGTTGAGCAATGTATTTATCTATTTCATGATTGAAAGATATGATTTAGTATAACAAGAAAGAAAGCTAAAATAGTAAAGAAGAGCATGAATAACATCTTATGTATAAGTATGTACCATATAACTTTAGAATGTTGTAAGTTAAATGAAGCTTAGACTTGAAGTTCAAAAGATCAAGAAATAGTTGTTTATATGAAAAAAGTTGTTATGGACAAGAAGTCCAGTACCCTAAGAGATTATAAGATAATCATATGAGTTTATTCATTAATGATTGCCGAAAGATGGTATATATGATTGGAATGCATCTCCTGAAGAAGATACTTCCAATGGGGGAGAAATATGATGATGTTGTGCGGTTGTACTCTTTTTCCTTATCATGGTTTTTATCCCATTGGGTTTTTCCATGAAAAGTTTTAATGAGGCAACAAAGAACACACAAATGATATACATCTAAAGAGAAATGTAAAGATGAAAAGTTTATCACCCTTCCAAAGTATTTGTTATACTTTAATAAGATCAAGTAAAGAGAATGATCAAGACGAATCATTATCAAGAGTCATGCATTGCAGAAGAATGGCGACGTATGTATCCTACAAATTCATTCAAGTGAAGATTTAACAGACAGATTTACCAAAGCGTTACTTTCAAGAAGTTATCTCATCATATTAGATTGCGTCATCTCAAAGATATCAAGTGATGTAGTCATGAGGGGGAGTTAATGCGCATTGCACTATTTTTCCCTTAGCTATAGTTTTTCCCACTGGGTTTTCCTAGAAAGGTTTTTAACAAAGCAGCATCCTACGTGCTTTAAATAATGGTTTGTATAATAAACATCAAAAGAGAGTGTTATGAAATATTATGTAATGTCCATTATAAGCCCATAAGACCCAAGCTAGGTTTTACTTTATCACCAAATAAAACTTTCTCTTTGTACTCCTATATAAATGACTATTTATTCATTGGAATAACACAACACAATTCCTTCTTTCTCTTCTTTTTATTTACAACATAAATCATATTTACAGTCATTTTGATTAATTGAATGAGATAAATCTTTGGAAATTTGAGTTTGAGGGTTTTTCTCTTAACGAGTTAGAGGTCGTTTTTCAAATGAAGAAAATAAAAACAAAACATGTATGGATACAGATCGATTCTACAAATATTTATGCGAGGAGATATCAGTTAGAAGTTGTAATTCAACATATGTATTATCAACAGCTGAATTTTTTAAAAACGTCTCTGTTCTTGGTTTATGAAGGTCAAAACTTACTGGATTTCTCCTTCGGCGTTTATGTGACGAGTTATTACAAAGTTAAACTTAAAAGAAAAGAGAATTATTCTTAAAAGACTTCACTTCAACACTACTTGCTGTCGTTTAGCTTTGGAATTTTCTTGTACTCGTACGAGTCTATGTCCACCTTCCCTTGCATAGCCTGTGATTAACAAAACCCATTCAAGATTTGAAGTATTTCATCAAAAATCTTTTATACAGTCTAATCAAGAAAACCATGCTAACCTTGAGTTCGTCTTCAATGGATGTGTTTGTAGGTTTATAAGCATCAACAGGTCCTGTTCTCGAAAGCGCCTTTCTTGTCTCTATAATCTCCCATTCTTGGTCATCTTTTACCTTTGCTATATCTTTACTGAACTAACCAAATAAAACCATACGTCACTGAAAGTTTAGAATTCTAAAACAGATCCATTGATTGTATCCCGAAAGCATTTATAGATTCAGAGCTTAGCTTAGTCAAGAGAGAACTTACCTTCCTTGAAGAAGTTGGCTTAGCCCTAGGGCTCCAAAAACGGTGAGAGATATCATCGGAAGTCCGTATCTTACAAATGGGTTTCTCCTTCCCCACCTTTTAAACGACGGCGATGGCTGCTTGAGAGTAGCAGCAGCAGTAGAAGAACCGGAAGGAGAAGGCTTTTGAGTTTTCTGACCCGTTTCGATTGTTGTCATCTTTGTGTAGTTACAAAGCAAATCTGTCCTGCAGAACAGAGACTGAGATAAATCAGGCAAGAAATCGAATAAAAAGATAACTTAATACAAAGAAACAAAAAAAAAAAAGTTTTATTCTATGATCTTGATACCAAACTTTTGCATAATTCAAAGTCATCTTACAATCACCTTCTCCAACGCTCGATCATAATTAACCATTCAAGTAAGCAAAATGCATTGAGAGATGAAAAACAATTATTAAAATACATGAGAAGCCACACTAATTTGAGATGAAAAGAACATTAACAAAGAAACTATATCTGAAAAAGAGAAGATTGAAGAAAGATTGCAAATAAAAAAGTGTACATTCTGCAAGAATGGCACCAGATGATAATCTCAATCTAATTTAGCTAACGATTATCTAAAAGTTTGAAAATAAATCTGAACATCTAATCAAAACCAAAGGCCATTACACAGCTTCCACTTGTTATTTTTCCTCTTCTTCTACAGCTAAAGAGTATTCTGATTTCTGAAATGCAATTTGCAGAAACAAATGCAAAGTAAACACACAAAGGCAAGAACAGAACTAAATCAGATTGAATGAGTTGCACTAAAAGGAAAAACGAAAAAGTTATAAAACGTAATTAAAATCTAATATCTCCCGGCAATAGAAGATACGGCAAAATGGGATTGGTAAAGAAATAAGTGTCAGGAGCTTACCGTAACAATAAACACAGGTTACAAAAATGGAGGCTCGACAGGTTGGATTATGATTTGAAGCTCTCTGGTCAATCACAAAAATGAAACAGAAAAATCAGAATTATTGAGAAACCCAATCACAAAGAGTTTTTAGAAAACTGAGAAAGGGAAACCACAGCCTACGAATCGGAACAAATCATCTATTGAATCAGAGCAAAAGCCCTAAAACCCTAATCGTTGTGCTGCCATTTACATACCTTGGACGATTTGGAGACTCGTGAGAGAGAAGAGAGATCGAAGCCGATCACCAACAAATCAAAGAAGTGAACATTGCTTCTCCAAGAAGTGAACCGGACCCGACCGGCTATTCCGTGACCCTGATGCCTATCCGGTCCGGCTTACAGTCTTAAATGCAATGTCTAATTTGTTCATTGACCCACAAAGCCCAGCCCAAAACAAAAAAAACTAATCATTTAAATAGAAGTGTCCAAACTCAACACTTTTTCTTTTCCTGAAATACTATAAAAATGGCATAACGAATCATTATATAAAAATTCACTACATATTTGAGAAGTAACATTATTGAAAAATAATTGACTTGTCAATACTACAGATAAAGTTAATGTTTTTAATTGATGATATGTAAATATGACATGTCAAACTTCCTAAAATAAATAAAATATTTTAATTGGTTGAACTAAAATTAAAGAACTTATGGAATTAAAACATAAAAACACTAGATTATACTTATAACACTAAAACTAACAAATTTAAATTAACAGAAAACAATTATTATTATGATTTCAATGTTTTACATATATTCATATATTCATAAAATATAATTACAAAAATGTTTTCAACAAAAAATATATATATATATATATATTTCATATAAAATCGAAAATAATATTAAATTATCCAATAGAATAGTAAAGATTCTATTTATTAATAATATTTGAAGTATGATATATTTTTTTGGAAAGTTATTAATTTATAAAATATAGTAAAAACATCTGAACAAGTTTTAAATAAATAAATTATTAAATAATATAATTTTAAATAAAATACAATCATGATAAAAATAATTTAAAGAATAAAATGTTAAAAATAATATTAATAGAACCATATATTTTTATAAAACTTGTATCACCATTTTATTGTTGTTTTCTAAAATATACATAACTTATGTTGCCATCTCATCTTATCTCCTATCATATTTTAAATAAATACAATTTTTATCATATTCATATATATTTATATATATTCATATTTTTTTTATTGTATATCAAAAATTTAAGATCATAAATAAAATGAAAAATAAGCAAACGAAATAATACATTTAAAATAAGATGAAACAAATATGAATAAGAATTAAAAAATAGAAGTGTATAAAAATAAATCTCTCGTACTTTGTTTTACAAAGTCACTTATAAACATTTTAACATGTAAGAGTCATATTTCGAATTTTTTACAAATACCCGTACAAACATAAATATTAATTGTGCATTAGTAGAAGTCACATGAATTTTTTCGTGCATGTTAGTATTTGTTAAGCTTGATTACAGTCTAATATATATTTTAATTTTTATAGTACATTTTTTTTAAAAAAAATCTTTATCTATTATAAGTGTAGTGAGGTGGTTGGTACGCCTACACATGCATGCCAACCATCTATCCGCTCTTAGGATAAGTAAAAATGATAAAAATTATTTCAGTTTAATTTGCAATAAATGAAGAAAAATACATACTTAAAAATATATTATATACGTATTTCAAATTCATATTATGTAAGACGTAAAAAAATATTGTAGATTGTGTAAAGATAAATAAAACATATTATAAATAATATTCAAAAAATATTATAAAAAATTTAATTATTATTTAATATAGCTTTTATATTTTTGATTATATATTATTACAAATATCATAAAAATAAAAAGTTTTAAAATACATTAGTTTCAGAAATAAGTTTTGAAATACTAAAACAATATCTATATATATATGTATTTACAAACATACTAATGTTTTAACTATGTATATCAAAAACATTATACCCGCATATATATGCGGGCCAACCACCTAGTATAGAAATTATAGAGGGTACAAAATAAAAAAAAACAGAAAGGATTATTAGTCAAATAGATGAAGCTAATATATATGCAGCTTAATCTATGCAGCACCATTGGTTAGTCAGAGAAGCGGTTTATAGGACACGTTGAGATGTGGTTCATGGAGTTACGGGACCAGTTTTTATTGGGGGAGACTTTAACACAATTGTCAGATTGGATGAGCGATCGGGATGGAACGAGGGACTTTCGGTGGATTCGCTAGCTTTTGGTGAGTGGATTAATGACCTTTCCCTGATTGATATGGGATTCAAGGGCAATAAGTTTACATGGCGGAGAGGACGATCTGAGCGAACTTGTGTAGCGAAGAGATTGGATCGTGTACTGTATTGTGCGAATTCACGGCTGAAATGGCAAGAGGCCACAGTGACACATCTGCCTTTTCTATCTTCGGATCATGCTCTGCTGTATATACAGCTTTCGCCTGAAATACAATGAGATCTGAGACGTAGACTATTCCGCTTTGAAGCAGCCTCGCTGAAACATGAAGGCTTTAAGGAACTCTTGGCAGCATCATGAAGAGGTGATATAAGCACATCACAGGCGCTGGATGGGTTGCGGGAGACCTTGAAAAGATGGAACTAGGAAGTATTTGGGGATGTTAAGAGGAGAAAAGAAAAGTTGGTGATTGAGATTAAGGCAATCCAGGATTTACTTGAGCTGGTCAAATGGATGATTTAATGAAGAAGGAGGATGCTTTAATCAAAGAGTTTGATGTTGTGTTAGAGCAGGAAGAGATGATTTGGTTCCAAAAATCTAGAGAGAAGTGGATAGCTTTGGGGGATCGAAATACGAGCTTTTTTCACACTTCCATTATTATACGCCGTAGATGAAGCCAGATTGAGATGTTGAAAGACAATGGTGGGAATTGGATCACGGACACGAGAGCATTAGAGAGAATCACTATTGAATACTACAAACGATTATACTCACTAGAGGATGTAAATGCAGAAGTGGAGAAGCTGCCACAGAGAGGCTTTGTGAGACTTTCTCATGATGATTTGACAGCACTGAATAAACCGTTTATGGCTGAGGAGGTGGAACAGGCAATTCAAGGGATGGGATAATTCAAAGCTCCGGGGCCCGATGGGTTTCAGCCAGTGTTCTACCAGCAATCTTGGGACGTTGTTGGAGCCTCAGTCACGTAATTTGTACTGGAGTTTTTGAATCTGGAATCTTACCGAGGGATGCAAATGACGCCCTGCTCGTCTTGATTGCCAAGGTGGCGAAACCAGAAAGGATTACTCAATTTCGACAAATTAGCTTGTGTAATGTCCTATTTAAGACCATTACCAAGACAATGGTCAACCACTTGAAGAGGGTTATCACTATGCTTATAGGGCCAGCTCAAGCAAGTTTTATACCAGGAAGGATAAGCACTAACAACATAGTTGTTGTCCAAGAAACAGTGCATTCAATAAGATGGAAGAAGGGTAAGAAGGGGTGGATGTTATTGAAGTTGGACCTTGAGAAGGCATACGAGAGGATACACTGATTGCAGCAGGTCTATCAGAAAGATGGGTTAGATGGATAATACAATGTGTATCGGGTCCAGCAATGAATGTTCTATGGAATGGGGAAAAGACTGAATCATCCAGGCCGCCACGCGGTCTTCGACAAAGAGATCCTCTCTCATCATACTTATCTGTCTTGTGTATTGGACGCCTATGTCAGCTTATTGATAAGTCTATTGCAGATAAGAAGTGGAAGCCAATCAGTCTCTCGCAGGGGGGGGGGGGAGACCAAAGTTATCACATATCTGTTTCGCCGATGATTTGATCTGTTTGCTGAGGCCTCTATGAGCCAGATTCGAGTGATTAGAAGTATTCTGGAGCATTTTTGTGTTGCCTCGGGTCAGAAAGTCAGCTTGGAGAAGTCCAAAATTTCTTTTTTGAGAATGTTTACCGAGAGTTGGGTACTCAGATTAGCAATGAGAATGGAATAAAAGCAACTAGAGACTTGGAGAGGTACTTTAGAATGCCAATGCTCCAAAAGCGCATTAACAAAGATACTTTTGGCAAGGTGTTGGAGTGAGTCTCATCGAGATTAGCAGGCTGAAAGAGACGGGTTCTTAGCCTTGCTGGGAGATTAACAATGACCAGGGCTGTGTTAGCATCCATTCCAGTACATTCCATGAGTACGATTCAACTGTCAAAATTAACTCTAGAGAATTTGATAAAGCGTCGAGATCATTCTTATGGGGTAGCACATATGTGAAAAGAAAGCAGCACTTGTTGGCATGGCAGAAGGTGTGCCGATCAAAAGGGGAAGGGGGTTTGGGAATTCGCTCAGCAAGAGACATGAGTACAGCATTAATCGCAAAGGTTGGTTGGCGGTTGATACATGATAGCGTGAGCCTTTGGGCTCGAGTGGTACGTAGTAAATATAAAGTGGGAAATATTCATGACATCAGCTGGACGGTAGCTAGAGGAACTTGTTCTTCGACAAAGCGTAGTGTGATGGCTGATTTTCGAGATGTGGTTTTTCCGGAGCAGAGCTGGATTATGGGAGATGGTAGAAAAGTCAGGTTTTGGACAGATAAATGGGGACCAAAGTTATCACATATCTGTTTCGCCGATGATTTGATTCTGTTTGCGGAGGCCTCTGTGAGCCAGATTCGAGTGATTAGAAGTATTCTGGAGCGTTTCTGTGCTGCCTCGGGTCAGAAGGTCAGCTTGGAGAAGTCCAAGATTTTCTTCTTTGAGAATGTTTACCGAGATTTGGGTACTCAGATTAGCAATGAGAGTGGAATAAAAGCAACTAGAGACTTGGAGAAGTACTTGGGAATGCCAGTGCTCCAAAAGCGCATTAACAAGGATACTTATGGCAAGGTGTTAGAGTGAACCTCATCGAGAATAGCGGGATGGAAGAGTCAGGTTCTTAGCATTGCTGGGAGATTAACAATGACTAAGGTTGTGTTAGCATTCATTTCAGTACATTCCATGAGTACGATTCAACTGCCAAAATTAAATCTAGAGAAGTTTGATAAAGCGTCGAGGTCATTCTAATGGGGTAGCACAGATGTGAAAAGAAAACAGCACTTGTTGGCATGGCAGAAGGTGTGCCGATCAAAAGGGGAAGGGGGTTTGGGAATTCGCTCAGCAAGAGACATGAGTACATCATTAATCGCAAAGGTTGGTTGGCGGTTGATACATGATAGCGTGAGCCTCTGGGCTCGAGTGGTACGTAGTAAATATAAAGTGGGAAATATTCATGACATCACCTGGACGGTAGCTAGAGGAACTTGGTCTTCGATATAGCGTAGTGTGATGGCTGGTTTTCGAGATGTGGTCTTGCC